CGGGAATTGGGGCGGGGGCTCGGGCGGAAGGGGGGTATAGGGGAGCACCCCCCAGCAGCCTGAGCCTGGGTGCAGCACCCGCGGGGGCCACCAGGGGGCAGCACCGGCCTGCACTTCTGCTGCAGCGCGTGTGCGCGCAGTTGTGCATGGGCCTGCGGCATGCCTCTGTGCGTGCCCACACGTGTGCCCACGTCACTGTGTGTATGTGCATGTGTGTGCCCGCGTATCCCTGGGATGGGCCTGTGAATGGGGCGGGGGTGCAGGTGTGTCTGTGTGAGAGTAAATGTGTCTATGGGGGGGTGTGCATGCACACACTTGTGTGCTGTTTCTCTGTATGTTTCTGTGCCTTCCTGTACCCATGTTAGGTCTGTGTGGGCGTGTATGTGCATGCATGTGTGTGTGTGTGTGCGCACGCACCTGTGGTGGGTGTGTGTACTTGTGGCAGGTCTGTATATACGTGCCTGGGGCTGAGCGCTTGTGTGCCTGTGTGTGTGCACATCTGCCTCTGTGTGTGTGTGTGTGTGTGTGTGTGTGTGTGTGTATACACATGCAACTGTGCTGGCTCTATGCACGCATGCGTGCCTCTGTGCAGGTGTGTCTGTGTGCCTGCATGGGATTGTGGTGTGTCTGGGGGTGGTGCACTCTTGTGCTTTGTGTGTGTGTGCATGTGCCTGTTGTCTGCACATGTGTGGGGTGAGGCATGTGTCTGCATGGGAAAGTCTGCATGTGTGTGTGCCTATGGCAGGTGTGTGTACTTGTGGCAGGTCTGCACACGTGCCTGTGTGTGCTGGGGGGGTGTGCATGGGACTATGCCGTGTCTGTGGGGGATGTGCCTGGAGTGTGCCTCTGTACGCATGTGCTGTGTCCCTGTGTGTCTCTGTGCCTGATATGTTGGGTCTGCACATGTGCAGGGAGGTATACATGGTCACGTGTCTGTGTGGACCTGTGTGTATGTACACGTGTACTGATGTCTTCATGTGCATATGTGTATCAGGGGGGTCTGCATACATGTGCCCATGTGTGTTGAGGGTGCAAGTGTGTCTGCATGGGATCTGCAGTGTGCCTCTATATGCGTGCATGCATATGTTGTGTCTGTGGTTGTGCATGCACATACATACCTGTAGCGAAGCTGTGTATGTGCACCTGCATATATGGAGGTGTGTGTGTTGTGTGTCTGCACCATGGGGTGTCTATGGGCGGGGGGATGTGCGTATGTGTGCACCTCTGCATGTGTGTTTGTGGCTGCACAGGCCTATGGCACGTGTGCACACGTGTGTCTCGGCCCCGAGGTGACCTATGTGGGCTGTGCCACATTCCCTCAAGTGCTAAGAGCCCCCCCACCCCTAATTAACAACCCCCCAGCACTAATTAACACCCCCCCAATTAGTGCCAGGCCTCAGGTGTCAGCCTAGTAAATCTAGGTCTATGGGGGTGGGGGTAATGAGGCGAAAGGTGGGGCTGAGAGCCAGCTGCCCCTGCACCCCCCCAGGGCAACTTCAGCCTGACCTGGAGCATGAATTAATTGCCCCCCATGTGTCCGGCCGGCTAATTGCCCCTAGTGCCCCTGGTCAGTGACTCGTTAGGGCCTGATGAGCTGGGGGAGGGGGGCCTCTGGGGCTGTCCTCCCCTCGGGTTTGGGGTACATGGGAGGGGGCTCCGGGGCCAGATCCCCCTGGGCTTGGGCTGCACTGTCCCACGGAGGTGGGTACACACACACACGCACAAGGCCAGCATGGCACAGCGCTCGCTGGTGCCCCGGGGATGTGTGAACGTGTGTGTGTGTCCCAGATGCCTGGATTTGCTTTGTGTGTCCTTGTCCTGGACATCGGGGGGGG